ACCAGATGGTAGACCTGCTCCTCGAGGATGGCGTCCTGCTTGACTGGGAAGGCCGCGCCTGCCCTCGCTGCGGCGTCGGAACCTGCGGCGCGCGGGTGCAGGGTGACAATCGCGGCCCGCGTTGGCGATGCAACGGCGGTGGGCTGTGCGGCAAGACCGTCAACCCGTGCATCGCCCGCCCCGTCTTCAAGTCTGGCGGGGGTTGCCAATCGTCAAGTTTGTCGACGAAGGTCAAGGTCCTCTTCTGCCTCGCGCCCGGCATGACCACCGCCCAGATGCACTTGCTGACAGGTGCCGACCACGGGATGATCGAGGACATGAGCGCGGCCGTGGCAACCGTGCGGCAGATCTACGTGGAAAAGAACGAACCCAACGTTGTCTTCGGCGACGAAGCTCAGCGGCGCTGGTTCGACGTGGAGGCGGATGAGTCGGTCTTCCGCGCCCAGCTGTCCGACGACGGTCGTTCCAAGACGAGGGAACAGTGGGCGGGCGTCGTCGAGCGCGGGCGCCCTGATGGCTTCGTTCTGTGGAAGACCCAGTCAGACGGCACCGAGGCCAACGCGCCAGGCCCAGGCGCCATCAAGAAGACGGATTGGGCGCCGTTCCTAAAAGGCCGTTAAGAGAACAGGGAGGTCATCTTGCACTCTGACGGGGCCCGCAGTTACAAGATGCGCGCGTCGGGGCTCGTGCGCGACCACGTCGTGCACTGCAAGAAGCGGAAGAAGGTCGGCAGGAAGTGGGTTTGGTTGAAGCCAGTCTACTCGAAGGGTGTCACCCACAAGTTGCCCGACGGCTCCAAGATCAGGGTAAAGGCAGGGGCGCAGATCATCGACCGCGCCTGGAGGTTCATCAAAACCCTCATTGGCGCGCGCACGGACCTCCCAGGCAGCAGGCGTCTCGCGGCTTCGGTTCGCTCGGCCCAGTTCGAGTGCTGGAACAGGGGCAAGGAAATGTGGGCGGCCACCGCGGATGCCATCTGGGAGGCCATGGACGCGGCGCACTGAGTGCCGATGTCGAGGGGTAGCGCGCATGTGTTCCCGAGTGCGCGTGATTGACGTCGCGTTGATTGTCCCCACCGCAGCCGTGCCACATCTTTGACTCATCGTCGCCGTGCCCACGCTCTCTTACTTCTTACTTCCATCTTCCGTGTGCATCGTTCGTCGTCGTCGCTCCCTCCCCAGGTGCTCAGCTGGCATCCGCAGCCGTCTGTGATCAACGCTTGCGCGCTGCTGCCCGTCATCCAAGGCCACCGCCCGACCCGCCTTTCTCTCGCCACGAATCATGGCGAGCGCCCCTGCTGACCAGGTGCAGTCGCTGGGGCAGGTTGCGTGCGACGCCGAGGGAGACGGCAAGCCCACCTTTGAGGAGGCGTCGTTGATGGTCAGCGGTAGCAAGTTAGACTACCACCCCTCGAAGTGCGTCAAGAAAGACAGGTTGGTTTTCGCTGGTGACCTTTCTATATTCGACCTTCCTCTGCCACCGATCGCGAATTCGAGTGCCGCGAAGTTGGTCTCTTTCGCCGACGTGGTATCCAACTACGAGGGCCCGATTGACTTCGACAAGGTGCACGAGTTGTGCGCGCAGGGTAAGTTCAAGGACTTGCAGGGGCCGCTGCCGCTCAAGCAGGAGCCCGTCGTCCCGTACACGATGCAGATCTTCATCGTTCGCCAGAAGCCAGAGGACAGCGAGCGTTCGGCATGCCGCATCCTCAAGGTCGTTTCTTTCGAGAAAAACAGAGTCGATTCTGCGGCCGTCCTCAAGTGTGCTCGCGGACAGGCCCACAACATCGACTGCGGCAAAAACTTTCGGACGGGGTCGATTGCGTTCCAGTTCGTGCTGGGGAAACTCGAGGGCTATCAAATACGGTGGGCGCGCTCGGATCAGGATCCCCCTCCTGCCCGCCCCAGCTCAGGCGCATTCCCCCGCCCCGTGTTTCAAAGCGAGTTGAGCGCCCTATCTGTGGCGACCCAGCGGTCGGGACCCCCTGGGCTTCTCACCGAATGTATGCCTATCCAGCGCCTCCACCGCAATGTACTTCACGATCGAGCCGCATCGCGAGCGGAAGCAGCCGCTAGAGGAGGACGAGCGCGCGCAGGGTTACACGTTCATCCGTGAACACGGCCCCCGCAGCAATAACAGGAACCAGTTCATGTAATGGGCTGGCACAGAGGACAACAGGGAGGGTTTGAAGATATTCGGATGGCCTGCGTCCAAGGTGGAGACTGCGCTGCGCAACTGCCAGAAGGGCAGGACGAATGCCAAACCGATCCCGCGCTGAAATTTGACGCTGAAGGACTTCTCTGGCTGGTTCCTCAATGGCGCCCTCCGCCTGATGATTGGCGCGCTCCACATGCGCGGGGTGCTGTGGGTCGGGAAGTCCAGAGTTGGCAAGAGCAACGGTTCGAAGGCGCTTGCTTGGGTTCATTCGGCGTACAGCATACAGAAGAAGGGCACCGCCGATGGGATCGCTTTCCTGACGGTGAAGCACATGGATTTCTTCGAGGGCGAGCCGACGGCGGAGATCCTCCCTTGCATTTTCGACGACGGCCTGCTTCAGAAGGTTCGGTGGCCTGGCGTGGCCCGCGGCATTGCCGCCCGCGGCTTCCAGGGAGACTGCGGTTCTTCCCGCCGCATCGCCCTCCCAAGTGGAAGTCGCGGTGGCGTTGGTGATCGGGCGAACGCTTGGCCGCTTGAAGGTATCCGCTGATGTGCTCAAGGCTTTCTTGAACCCCGAGGAAGACGGCGCTCTGCTGTGGGCTCGGTGGGGCGGCTGCGCTTTCGAGCAAGGGCCGTGCAGACAGGCCGTCGCGAACCCCTGCGACAGCGACGCGGAGAAGGCGGCGCTGGATGCCGCGACGCTAAACAAGCGCGGCCTCGACCTGATCAAGCGTATCATCGCGCCGTCTCTGGGGGATGTCGGGGCAGAGGAGGACTTCGACGCCATCCTCGCCAGGGCGCACGTCATCGTGGTGACGGACCTCGGCGTGCATTGGCGCGTGGCATCCGCCAGCCTGCAGGGCGGTGCAGAGTTCATGCCGTGGCCCAACCCCAGGAGCCCCGACCTCTTCGTCAGCGAAGCGCGGGACACGACGTCGCCAGCCATCCGCCCGCTCCCCTCAGATTACGCCGACAAGATGGCTTGGTCGATTGGGTGCATGAGCAATGTGGTCGCGGGCCTTGACGCGCCCACTATTGCGACTGTCCATGTTGCTCCTATCTTCGGCGATGGCCCTGCGCGCGTTGTCTCCGCTGTCGGCAACGTTTCAGGGTTCGATCCAGGCGCGGCCAGCGCTCCGCCAGCCGCCGCGGCCGCTTCGGCGTTTTCCCAGTCGCCAGCCGAGTTGTCCCAGGCGTTCGGCTTCGGCGGCGGAATGGGCGAACCGCCAGAAGACAGCTCGCGCGCCGCCAGCTCCGCGCAGCCCAACATCGTTGGGCGTTGCGGCGAGCTCACCAAGGAGGACCAGGACGAGCAGCTCGCGATTTTCAAGAGCCTCGCCAAGGCGCACCACGGTGCGTTCGAGGACTTGTCCTCGCCTCCGCCAGTGAAGAGGGCGAGGGGGCTCATGATGGGCTGCGGTGGTCCGTTGTCACCCGTGGATGCCGATGAGCAGAGGGCGATCTTCGCTTCCATTGCCGCCTCGGCCCACGGTGAAACGATCGACGTCGAGGATGACGACGGTCTGTCGGCAGAGCTCGCGCGCGTGCTTGACGAGGGGGGGCCGCCCTCTGAGTCGGCGACGGCGCGCCGCAGCGAGGCTGACTGAGGAGGCGGCCGCGCCGTGCGAGCGCGCATGATGCGCGACGCAGTCGTAGCCGATGGCAGTCGGTGCGATGTGTGCGCGCACGTATGAACCACCATCTTTTGTAGACCTCTATGCGTGCGCTCCGCCTGGAAACATAGCAACGCAACGGTTGCGACATATTGGATAGCAATCGGTGGAATTGCGGTACCTACCCCCATGCTGACGGCCGGCGGCATAACGGAGGAGGGGGAGAGGGGAAGGAGGAGAAGAAGGAGGGGAGGGGGAGGAGAAGAGGGAGAAGGTGGAGGCGGAGGAGGAGGAGGAGGAGGGGGAGGGGGTGGACGAGCAGGAGGAGGAGGAGGAGGAGGAGGAGGAGGAGACTGAGGAGGAGGAGGAGGAGGAGGAGGAGGCGAGATTAGCGAAATCGCCAAAATCAAAGAAAACCTTGAACAATAGAAAAACAAAAAAACCCAAACCCAAACAACAACCCCACAACAAAAACAACAATTATGATTTCTGGCGAATTTTGCCCGCCAGCCTTCCCAGAAATTCCCCAGATTTTTTTTTGGGTTTGTTTTTTGAAGGTTTTCTTTAGTTTCTGACGATTTCGATGATTCCGAGAAGGAATTGCACGGGGGGGAGGAGGAGGAAGAGGAGGAGGAGGAGGAGAGAGAGGAAGAGACAGGAGAAGGGAACGGAGAAAGAAGATATCGATCGGCTGCGGTAAAGACGAATATGTATGATCATGTGTTGGGGGGGGCTACCGTATATATATATATATATATATATATATATATAAATGTCATATATATATATATATATGTACATTTAGATAGTTACTACAATAACGTGACACACATTAGACGATCACGGGGCAACCGCGAGACAACTGCGGGACAACCAAGGGGCAACCACTGGGCAGCCACCGCGAAAAGCAGTTGACAATCACGGGACAATGGCGGGACAACCACGGGACAGCCTTGGGACAATCGCGGGACAACGGGACAACTACGGGCAACCACGGGACAAGCGCGGAGCAACCACGGGGCAACCCCAGGGCAACCACGAAACAACCACGGAGCAACCTCGGAACAACCAGGGGGCAACTGCGGGACAACCATGGGGCGACCGCGGGCTCATCATGGGACAACCACCGGAGAATCATCGGGACAACCGCGGGACAAAATCCCGCTCACGCCAGCTGACGCCGAAGGGGGGTGGGGTGGCAAAGTGCTCTCCCCTGGGCCTGGCTGGGAGGGAGGAGCCCTCGAAGCCTCGCCCCGCCTCGCCCGCGCGCGCGCGTCGCGCACGACACCTGGCGAAACCGAGGCCGCTAGTCCAGGGTGGGAGGCTCCGCTTCGCTCGGTCCCTCCCCGAGCCTCGGATCCATTGCCTCCCGGGTCGTGCCCCAGGATCTCGAGGACCTTTCGAGGAGCGGGGAACGCGAGCGGGTGCCCGCCCGCAAGGGGCGGGTCAGGCGTCTCCTCCCTCCTCCCTCCTCCCGTCTCCCTCCGTCTTCCTCCCTCCTCCCTTCTCCCTCCTCCCTCCTCCCTCCTCCCCCTGCCCCTCTTCCTCCTCCTCCTCTTCCTCCTCCTCCTCGTCCTCTTTCTCCTCCTCCTCCTCTTTCTCCTCCTCCTCCTCCTCCTCTTTCTCCTCCTCCTCGTCCTCCTCCTCCTCTTTCTCCTCCTCCTCCTCCTCCTGCTCCCCCGTGAGCCGGGGGCAGGGCTCCAGCAGCTCCGGGCCTGGGTGCGGGCGACCCCCGGCGGTGCAGTCTCTGCCGAGAAGGAGGGACACCCAGGTACCCATCGGTCGTTGAAGGCCGGATTTTTTTGGGATTCCCGGCTTCCAGTCTCATTTCAGCGCCTTCCTATTTCAATGATCGAGTGGCGTCGCTTTTCCCGTCCTCCTCAAGGGGCAGGCGGACACCCGATCTACTCTCAACGCTTTCCTGCTTCATGTTTCTACCTGCTTCTTCCGACTGGCGTGTGCACCTCTTGAGTCGCGGCGCAGAGGAACCTCGGGCCCGGGCAGCAGGTGAAAGTGCTAATCTCACACGGACTTATAGCCGAAAGAGCAGCAGTGCGACGAGTCGCACGCTGTAAAATGTGCAGAAGATGAGTGGTGTAGTGATGGAACTGTAATCCTAAGTATGCGCATGCAGTAGAGATACATGCCAAGAAACATCCTGCTTGCCTCCACAGTGCCCTCGGTTTCTTGGGTTTCGATGGTTTTGCTATGGGAAGCGTGACGTTCCCTCACCAAAAATCAGCGGACGTTCTTGGGTCTCAGGGTTGGGGTTCTTGTGGAAGGTTTCTTGTGGTCGAGCTCCTA